CTGCCCCTCGCCTCGCAACCCAGCATCCCCGGGGGACCCTGCCCGCAGCCGAGCATCGCTTCGGGCAACGCTGGGGAGGGTTTGGGGTGCCGACGTGCGGAGGAAGCGATGCAGCACTGGGGGGGCCCTGGCCAGCCGGGCTCAGCACCCCCTGCCCCCCCCAGCTCTTTCTCCTCGAAGAGATGCGGGAGAGGAAATTCGACGGCTTTGCCCGGGTGATCCAGAAGGCCTGGCGCCGGCACGTCGCCATCCGGAAGTATGAGCAGATGCGAGAGGAGGGTAAGGCTGGGCGAGGACGGGGACACCGGCACCCCAGCACCCCTTTTAGGGTGCCCTTCGCTGGGGACAGCCCAGCTGCCAGAGCAGCAGGAGGGTGGCTGCCCGGCTCCTAATTGTGGCACTAACGAGGAGAGGGGTGAGGAGGGACCGGACCATGAGATGCCTGGGGTCTTTTCCTATATCTTAAAGGAGGGCGCGGATTTCTTGCTCCTATTTCCAGCCCTGGGAGGGGCCATAGGACAGAAGCCGGAGCCTCTCGCTGTCTCGCTCTGCATTTCATTGCCTGCACTGAGATGGAGGGGAGTAGCTGAGAGTCAACATTTGCAGAAAGATGGGAAGGTCACCGCCTGAGCCCATCATGGGTGTTTTCCCACCCTCCCAAGCGTGCAATGAAAAATCAAGGGGGAAAACACAGGAACTAGCTGGGTCCCTTCCTCCTTCCCACAGCACAAGTTTTTTTGAGGGCAATTAATGGGTTTCGAAGCCAGCCAAGCTCAAGCAGCTCAGATTCCTCCTGTGGCATAAAAGGAGCCCCACTTCTTGCTGCCACAGCCGATGGGATGGATGGCTCCCACGGCTCCTGCAGCCGGTTTGGGAAGGCAGGCAGGCAGGGGCCGAGGGCTGAGCCACCGGCGCAGAGCCCTTTCCAACCAGCATCGCTTCGGGGTCCCGTGCAGCCTCCAACATCCTCTACAACTTCAAAGAGCGGAGGAGGAACAGCATTAACAGGAATTTTGTGGGCGATTACCTGGGCATGGAGGAGCGGCCGGAGCTGCGCCAGTTCCTGGCCAAGAGGGAGCGGATAGACTTTGCCGACTCCATCACTAAGTACGACCGGAGGTTCAAGGTACGTGGAGCCACTCGGGGCTTGGGGCTGGCTTGTGGTGGCTGCCTTTGGGTGGGATGTGTGCGGGGCTCATGGACCCCAAAAACATCCCCTGACCCCCTGCTCCTGCCCTTTCCCAGCCCATCAAGCGGGACTTCATCCTCACCCCCAAGTACTTCTACCTGATCGGGCGGGAGAAGGTGAAGAAAGGTCCTGAGAAGGGGCAGATCAAGGAGGTGCTCAAGAAGAAGGTGGAGCTCCAGGCGGTGAGCGGTGTCTCGCTGAGGTGCGTCCCTTAGCACGGGCTCCATGGCGGGGGGTCCTCGTGGATGGGCTTCACCCA